TTCCAGTTTATGGCTATTACAAATAGTTCTGGATCTTGTGGTAAACTGATTCCCATTTTCTTGAGGAGTCGCCATACTGATTTCCAATGTGGCTGTACAAGTTGGCACTCCTACCAGCAGTGGAGAAGTGTTCCCCTTTCTCCACATCCTCTTCAGCATAAACTGTCATTGGTGTTTTTGATTTTGGCCATTCTGACAGGAGTAAGATGAGACCATGAATTTGAAGGGTGGGTGTGTGTGTGTGTGTGTGTGTGTGTGTGTGTGTGTGTGTGTGTGTGTGTGTGTGTGTGTTTATGAAGGAGGGTTTGGCGAGAGGAAAGGGGAGACATGTTGTAATTGTTATTGTAATCTGTTATATTTTTGGTTGTGAGCCTAGCGTTTAATGGCTGAACCATCTCTCCAACCCTATATTGTAATCTCAAAGATAAAAATGAAAATTTGTAAAGAAGGAAAAAAGCCCAACAACAAAAACAGGCCCTAGAGTTCAGACATTAAGAACACTTGCTGCTGTTTTGGAGAACTGGGTTAGGACCGCAGCACCCACGTGGTGGCTCACAACCATCTATGAGCTCCAAGGAATCAGATGCCATCTTCTGGTCTCTGGGAAGAACACACACCCACACACACACACACACACACACACACACACACACACACTGCACAGACATACATGTGGGCAGAACACCCATACACATAAAATTAAATAAGCCTTTTTTTTTTTAACTCAGTTTAGCCACTGTTCTTGTCTTTTTTCCCCCCTTTGGAATGTTGTAGGGTTTTCTCTTTTGCATTCATTTGGGCTCTGTTTCCATCCAACATCAGTAGGACCTATTGATTTGGGCCTCAGCAAGGCAGGGGTAAGAGGTTGCTCACTTCAGAAGCTGGGGTGGGACACGGGGAGGAATGAGAGAGATGCAATAGCATGCTGTCTCTTTGCAGTTTTGTTCCATCCAGGTCCCCAGCCTACTGTATGGTGCTGCTCTTACTCAGACTGGAAACACCCTTGTGGACACATCCCCAAACTGTGCCTTACTGCTTTCCTAGGTATAGCTCAACCCAACCCAATATTAACAATCAATATTAACCAGACCAGCTTATTGTGCTTTGTCACTCTTGTGTTAGGAGGTGAACACCAGACTGGGCTACATGGTAAGACTTAAAACACACACACACACACACACACACACACACACACACACCCAAAAACCTGATTACCTGTCACACTTGTTCGATCCCCCCTCACCATAATATTTTCACTTTTTTTCTTTTTGGATGTCATTATATGGTGCTGGAACTCCTAGATTAGGACCAGCTCTGCCTCTGTCTTTCTTTGCATGTGTGTTCCCTACACTCCCCTCCTTCTCCTTCTCCGACTTTCCTACTTTCAAGTTTTTGTTCTTTATCCCTTATTCCCACTTCTACCCTGCCCTCCCTTTGCACACCCCAATCCAACCCTTCCTGTTCCATTATTTCCCTTAAACCCTTCATCCATTGCTTTTTATTTCCCCTTCCTTTAAGTAACACCCCCATTACCCCTACTAAGTTCATGACCTCTATGGGTATTCAGAATGGAACACACATAACCAAAGATTCAATGCTGCTGTCCATACACAAGAGAAAACACATGATGTTCTTTTTGAGCGTCTGGTTTACCTCACTCAGAACAATTATTTCCAGCTCCACTATTGATCTGCTCACTTCTTACTTTGTTTTTCTTAACAGCTGAATAATATTCCATTGTGTGAATATACCTATTGTGTGAACATTTTCATTACCTATTCTTTAGTTGATGGGCATCTAGGTTGTTTTCACTTCCAGACTATTGTAAATAGAGTGGCAATGAACGAAGAGGAGCAGGTATCTCTACTGTAGGACATAGGGTTCTTTGGGCATATTGACAAGAGTTTTATAGCTAGATAGTGATAGATCTATCCTCCACACCAATTTGTGTAGTGGCCTCACTGGTTTGCACTTCCATTACTATTAAGTCCAAAGTGGGCCTCAAAAGTGGCAGTACTGGTGATAATTTCCTAAACAGAAGGACTCTGTAAACAGGATTGTTATTGGGCAAACAGAAACCTAAATTCAGCATTGCACAGGAATCTCATGAGACAGGTTTTCTGTTTACCAGGAAAACCACTATTTCCCTTATCTGCCTAGTACATCAACCACTATGAAATCCTCGAGCTTTTGAAGCTTTTTCTTGATGTCTAGAGAAGATTGGGTAACAAAAGCCAAATTTAGAGCCTACCCATTCTAGAGGGTCAAAGGAAGTGTATGTTATGAAAACTTCCCATTAAGCATTCAAGGAAGGCCAGGTGGTGGATGTACTAGGGTCCTGTCTGGGGTAGGTGGAAGGAAAAACCTCCAAGTTTCTACCTCTGGCAGGCGACTGCGGCCAAGAACATCCCAGTACACTTCATCCCTCAGGGGTGCATAGTCAAAAGCAATTGTTGGCAATCATCCCAAGTGGGTCCGTGGGTTTGGAGAATAGACTCAGTGAGAGAGGTCAGAGCCTGGGGCTTTTCAGAGATGAGAGCATCTAGAGTCTACCAATTATAGAGGTCTGCTGTAGAGGAGGATGCATAACCCTGGAGTTAGCATTCCTCTTGGTCCTCTGTAAGGAGGAGAGCAGGAGTCAGATGAATACCCTCACCATTTCTTCAGTGCCCCTCCTATGCTCCCTCATATTACAGAAAAATGCCACCAACTTTAGAGCCACACAAATAACCCAGGGACCTTATTAAGCAGGTCCCTAAGTCAATAGATTGGATCAGGCCTATGATTTTCTATTTCCAAGGAGCTCTCAGGGGACATCAGTGTTGTTCTCTGTGTGTCACACCTGAATTGTCAGATGCTGTTCTAAGACTTCAGCCTGAACTGGAGGTGTGACAGTGTTGGTGAATTCTTCTAGCATACAGGAGGCCTTGGATTTGATCTCTGGCACAAGATAATGCCTTAACTTTAAATATGAATACATCATTACTTTCCTTGCCACTCCTCAGTGGCCCCCTGTTGTCCACCAACCTTATGTCAGTATTTCTTTTATAACTCATCAGTCTGTATCCCCCACATTCAATCAGTTATTTGCAGCTCCTCAGAGCACTGTACTCTGCCATTCTCACCTGGAATGCATCTTACTTCTCAGCTCCCAGGTCGTTCCTACTCTCTGGGTAAGCTTCTCCAGAACATTAGCCCCTCTAGGAAACCTTTCCACAAGTCTCCACTCACCCTCCCAAATAGCTTAAGAGAAGAGCGAGGGATCACTCCAAGACAGACTTGTCTCTTCCGGCCTTCAGTGTCTGGAGATACACTTGCTCATTGACCTGCCCATTTTCTTACCTAGATCTGGAAGAGAAGAACCTGGGACAGTGAAAGGTCACAACTGTGTGCTGGGTAAAAGGAAGAATCAAAGAGACCCATCACTTGTCTCTGGTAGCTTCTCCAGGCACTCGTCAAATGACAGCTATCTCTTCCAGTGGTCTCTGATGGGACACTGAGAAAAGGGTCATTTCTATTCATTGTGTTCTCATAATTCCTGCTCCAAACTGGGTTGTATTTTCTTCTTTATGTCCTATTTTCCTTCTTGTCATTCTAGGAATCAAAACCATGACCTCACAATGCCATTCAAGTGCTTTACTGCTGAACTTCACTTCTCATCCCATCCCTTCCACTTGGGGTTCATGACACTCTAATTTTTTTTTTCTTTGGTAGAATCTGGGGCTTGCTTGATTTTTACCTTTTGCTACTCTAGAGGTTCCTGCCATGCCATATGCCACAGATCTTGTTGGGTATGAACCTCAGCAGTCACTCTTGAAATCTGAGTGTCTAAACCATCATCTTGTTCTCGATACGTGTCAGCCAGTTTTTTATTACTGCACACCATACCCAAGGTAATTGCCTTACAGAGTGGGAAGTCTGGGCCTACAGTTTTAGAGGTTTTGATCCCTGGATTGTTAGTCACAGTCCCAGTGACCTGACTTCCTCACTAGACTCTACCTTTTAAGGAAGGTGGCCTCTAAAGACAACTGGGATTGTATTAGAGAAGGACCTGAAGCCCCAGGCAGAAGGGACATGTTCTGTTCCTGGCCACATGCAATCACTTTGCTTCTCTGGGTCTCACTTTCTTCATTAATGGATGTACCTTCCTTGTCACCCTAGGGTAATGAGAAAGCTTACATGAGTCAGCATGCAAGGCCTACAGAACTGACAACATGGAGACAGTTACATTGAAACCTATCTGGGTGTGAGGATCCAGAGGCAGGACAGGGAAGACTCCTGTAGCTCCTAGGTTATCACACCATCAATTTGGAAGGGTGAGTGGAGACTTGTAGGAAGGTTTCCTAGAGGGGCTAATGGCTTGGAAAAATTTACCCGAAAGAGTAAGAGTGAGCTGGGGGCTGAGGTGTAAGATGCATTCCAGGTAAAAATGGCGGAGTGCAGTGCTCTGAGGAGCTGCAGATAATTAATTGAATGTAGGGGATACAGACTGATGAGTTATAAAAAAGAAATACTGACATAAGGTTGGTGGGCAATGGGGTCACTGAGGAGTGACAAGGAATTTGTCAGACTTCTAGAAGTCTGTCAGCACAAGTCAGCCTTCCCAAACTGGCCAGAGTAAAGAGATCACCCCTGCAGGGTGACAGAGGCAGGATGTCACAGCTCCTCTGTCCCTGTATGTCTCTGTCTGACATTGTCTTAGTCTTCTTTAGACAACCTTACAAACCCCCATTCAAGCAGAGGACACTGGAGCCAGCCCTAGTGGCCAGCGATACAGTCTGGAGGATGGGATACAAAAATCACAGAAACAGCATGGCAGGGAGGATGCAGCCAACCTTCCTTGAAGAGCTGTTTTTTCAAACCTCTCCCCAGGACTTTATTATCTCTTTCATGGCAAAGAGACACATTAGTGTCTATTTCCTTTAGAACATGGGGTCACTCTGAACTTGGATCCCAAGCAGTGATGGCTATACCCCGTGGCCCTGTGTGTCCAGTGTTCACTATGCACGGCCACGGGGGAAGGCTGTTGACTGCGGCTCTTCATTGACATTGTACAGACCATTTTGGGGCCTCTGCTCCCCAAGGATTTGGAAGCCACCACCTTCCACCCAGAGGGCTTTCTCTTCCTCCCAGAGGGCATTCTCTTCCTCCCAGAGAGACTTTTTATCCTCCCACAGAGCCTTCTCTTCTGCAAGCAGGGCTCTTTCCTCTACCCACAAGGCCTTTTCCTCCTCCCATAGGGCCTTGTTCTCCTGAAGAAGATTCCGGTCTCTTTCCCATAAAGCATTGTCCTCTCTCCAGAAGGCCTTGTCCTCTTTCCAGAAGGTTCTGTATTTTTTCCAGAAAGTCTTTTCCTCTTCCCGGAAAGATTTTTCCATTTCCCAGAAGGTTTTTTCCTCTTTCCAGAAGTGTTTCTCTTCTTCCCAGAAAGGTCTTTCTTCTTCCCGAAAACCCAGGATCTGGCTCCGGAAGGCCCGAATCTTGCCCCGGAAATCCCATATCTCTTCCCTGAAGTCTTCTATTTTCTCATGGAAATTTTTCATCTCTTCTCGAAAAGCCTTCTCCTCTTGCAGCTTGTGTATTAGTTTCTTCTGACGAATACTGGGTGAGGACAATACCAGAGACCGGAGGCAAGCCAGCCCCATCCATTTGCTCACCTTGAAGGGAAACATCTTTCAATCAGCCGGAATGGTTGGTGGCTGTGTTGGAGGTCAGGGCTGTTGGCCACGTCCAGGTCAGTTGGTCAAACCCTGTGAGTACACCACAGAGAACACGTCCATGAGAATGGGAGGCACTCTGTCTGATGTGGGAAAATTTAACCACTGCTCTCTTAGTCCTATTAGTGAGAGACACGATTTAATACAGAAGAGTGCTGGGTGGCCATGGCTCTGAGCTGGTTGATACAGTGATACATTCAAGGACTAGTGTCCCACAAACAATCTCACCCAACCAAGACAGTGGTGCTAAAGTGGAAATATAAGTACATAAGGGTGATGTGACAATTTAAGGTGGTTGGTGGCTGAACAATTGGGGAGCAACTAAGAGCTAATTAGTGAGCACCTAAGAAGGGCTTCGGAGGCGCTGGCAGTATCCTGTTTCTTTGCTTGGGAGGTGGATGCATGCATGCATGTCACATAAAAATATGTTCCTAAATATGTTGAAGAGAAAAGAAGAAGAGGGGAAAGAGGAAGATGAGAAGGAATGGGAAGAGAAGAGAAGGGGAAATAAAGGGAAGGAGAGAAGAGCAAAGGAAGGAAAAGGATGGGAAGGAAGGGGAAAGGGAGGGGAGGGAAGAGAGGAGGGGAAAGAAGGGAAGGGAAGAGAGGGGGGAAGGAAGGAAAGGGCAATAAAAGAGGAAAGGAAAGAAGAGGGAAGGGAGAGGATAAGGACTCCAAACACTATCATATGTTCAAGGTAGCATGTATTAGGACAATCCATAGTTCAGATATCCAGCAAGGCCGTCACAGTGTGCATGTAGGGAAAGCTGAATGTAGCTAGTGTGTGCACTCAGGTGCAGAGATCCCACTGTGTGCTTTTTGGAAGCTGGGCTTTGTCCTCAGTGGTCCTCACCAGAGCCCCACAATGTAAAGTAGCATTAGACATTTGCAGGAGGTTTTCCAGATTGTCCCTGTGATTTTCTTTCTCTCCTGGTATGGGATCAGAAAGTAAAGAACTTCCCTCCCCCTGTCTCTCCATCACTGTCTGCCTCCTCCTCTCCTTCCCTTACCCCCCTTTGTGTGCATGTGCGCGCACGCGTGTGTGTGTGTGTGTGTGTGTGTGTGTGTGTGTACATACGTGTGTGTATGTGTATGTGTATATAAAAAGATGGTGGCTATGGTATATATGGCTGTTGACCTCTCCTCTTTCGAATAACACAACCTGGAAACCTGAGGCTCACCTCTGATTTCCTCCTAATCAGACTCTTCCTCAACTACCGAGCCCTATCATTTCTGACCCTTCACATCTTTTGGAGATACACACTTCCTGTTCCATCTTCCCATGACCACTTCTGGGGAGGATGTCTTTTCCTGCCTGCCTGGTCTCTGGTGTTCTGTTGGTTCAGATTGTCTGCTTACACAGTGGAGCCCCTCCCCCCAATGGATTTCCTGTTGTACTGTACTTGCTTACAAGCAGCCAAAGACTCCATAGGTTGAAAATCAAAGCCAACTGCCCAGTGCTTGTCTATCTCTTTACTTCCTTCTGTCTTTCCACTCTGCTCCATGTGACATATAGTTAGTTCTCTAGACACAACCCGAACAGTTTGACCTCTATACCGAAGCACTGGCTGTGTCCCCACTAAGGTTTCCTTCACGTTCTGGGGTGGGCTTCAGATCTTGTTTCTCCCTTCTTCTCTGTGTCTATCTGCCAGTGTCCTACCATTACCTGACGTCCTTGACATTATGTGTGGATGTGCCTTCCTGCTGTCTCTGTAGCCTGGCAGCTAGTAAAACAGTGTTGGATGAATGTAACTGAATTTAGAACTTTGATTTTGTTCATGTCATTTATATGGTTCTTTGTCTAGAATCCCTGGAATATGCTAAGTTCTCCATTAGTCCCTCCCCGCCCCTGAATAGCTTAAACTAACCGACCTGATTCTTCCACATTTAGGCAAGGATACACCCTCTCCACACCACTGTGAAGATTCAGGCTCAGGGCTGCCCTCCTGTCCAGTTAGTAGTGCCCTGTGTCCCATATCCCTAGGCACAGTGCCTGGCCTAGTGTAATTTCTGCCACAGATCAGATGTTCAAGAAACAGCAGCTGAATGGATGGCAGTTTCCTGAATTATAATATTATGGGAAAAATCATCCCCAAGTATTTCAAGTTACTACCTCATTATCTTTGGGGAGGCTGGCAAGATGGTGTAGGGGGGAAGCACTGCCTCCCAAGCCTGAAGACCTGCGTTTGAATTCTGAAAGTCACATAATGGAGAGAGCCAACATAAGTTGTTCTCTGATCTCTACACACACACACACACACACACACACACACACACACACACACACAGTGGTGACACCCTCATACCTAAACTCACGAACAAATGTAAAACAAACTCTCTTAAAAGAAATAAAATGGGTAAAATCGAGTATATACACATTATATATCAAGAACAATAAAAATGGCCAATATGTGTCTATGTAGACATTTTTAAATTCAATAAAAACATGCCTGGTCTTCATAACTGTACTAGGCTAGGACTTATTTTAAGGTTACTTACTGCTTAGCTGTTTCCCAACTGGGAAAGCTCTGTGGCCCTCAGAGGGCAGGCAGTCATTGTCACATCAGAATCCCAGTGATGCGTCTCTTGGATTCACCCCAACACTCCTCACAGTGACCCCTTTGTGCTTAGTTCTTACTCACAGGTTGGAGGCTAAATGGGGCCCTACATGAGAGACCTAGCTATGAAAAGAGAGAGCTCTCAAAAGGTTGGAAAGATGTTGACAACTTTCATCTTGGACTTCACCAATAGTAATTGTTACCTGAGATTCCATCCATGTTGTTTCAGGAAGGGCCTCTGGGACCGTGTTCCAGGGAGGCTCTATTTTGGATGAAGAACTCTTGCTACTTAATATATTTGCCTTTGTCTTTGCATTTTGGTGATTTAACTAGGGTGTGTCCTGGTCTGTGTTTTTTTTTTTTTTTTAGTTAATCTTAGTTGATTTTGTTGAGATTCTTAGATATTGAAGACTTTATGTGGTTTTTCATTCAATCTCAGACAGGCTTCATAATTTTTATTCTCTTTTCTCTACACATTATTCATATGTTTGCAGCTGATGTGGCCAATGAGCCTCTAAAGTTTTGTTTCTTTTGCTTCCTTATTTCTTTTGTTTGGATTTGATAATCTCAGTGGACCTGCGTTTGAGTTCACAGATGCTTTTCTCATTAGCTCAAATCTACTGTTAAGCACCAAAATTCAGTTTGTCACTTTCAGCACTAGAACTATTTTTTTTAATTAGTGTAATTTTTGCTATAAGACAGAAAACTAACAAATCTGTTATTTCACAGAGTTTTATAGCCTTTGGTGAACAGTAAGTTAAAAGCAATCCCAAATTTACTTTCTTGTCAAAAATCTTCAAGGGAACACACAATTATATCAAGAAATATGTATCCCAGATATGTTACTTGAGATACTTCATGTTTCACCCATTTTTACCCCACTCTTGTTTTATTGTTTATATATATTCAGATTTTTGTCATCTGAGATTCCATACATAAGTGAGACCAGACAGTATTTTCTTCTATGTTTGGCTTATTTTATTTAGTATAACATCCATCAGTCTGATCCAGGACAAGATCTTCTTAAGGCTGAATTTATTCCTTTGCTTAAAACAATTTCCCTATATACTTACTGGATTTTAAGGTATTAAGTACCATCCAGTTAAACACTGTCCCAGAACTTGGGAACTAAGCAAGGGAATCACAAGTTGAAAGCCAGTTTGAGCTACTAAGGAAGCTCAAAGACAGTTCTGCCTACAAAGAGAGAATGTATCTAAACAGAAATATATTTCCTGATATCCACTGTAATTTCATTTTTGCTATTTTTACATGTGCTATTTACAAGTCTTTTTGCTTAATTTTCAAATATGTGAAACATTTTCCAATTGCATTGGTGAAGTTAGAATCTTCATGATCTGATAATTCAGCCTTCAACACATGGGCTTTCAGGAGATACTTTTTAGATACAAATGACAACAAGGATGTACTCCTGACTCTTCCATCCTGAGAAGAGCCCATAACTGACTTCCAAATTTGTGGGCATCAAAGACATGAGCCTAGTCACCCTACCCTACAGGTGTGTGCTGGTCCACTTGAAGGTTTCTGAGGTTGCTGACAGAGGAGAACGCTGGGGGAACCATGGCTATCAAGATGCTGCAGGTACCAGATATGATCTAGAACTCTGGGTACATAAGAAGCCTGTATTTTCTGGTAATGTTGCAGGCATCTTTATGTTAACATAGCTAGTGATTTATCAAATATTGGCATGAGTTCCTATTATTCTTCCTTCTCTAAGTCTTGCTTTGTGCCATACTTAGAGTCTTTAATTAAATTGCTATATATAATTAAAGGAAAAATATAAGGAAGTTATGTCAGAAAAATCATAGGAAGTATTAGAATGCACTTCAGTTTTGTGTTATCAGCACCCTTGCTTCTCACTCAAGACGGAGTGCTGGGAGAGGCATGTGTATACTCCTTCGCTCTTCAATGGAGACTAGCTGTCACAGTCCTTAAGTAATTGCTACAACCTAGTTAAAGTTTGGCTGTGAGTTTCCTTGCGACTGCAGTAAAATAAAATGAAACCTAAAGTACAATATATTTCCCCTCTGGAGACACATGGGTTAGGTGTGAGAGATAATGTGCCTAGAAGGGATCCTGAGTGATTTGGGGGTCACCTTACACACTGCATGGACTCACTAGCAGACTCTGGTCACTGACCAGGGTGAGTGGTTTTGCTGATGCCCACGCAAAGTCTCTACAGCTGTTCTGTCTTGCTTAATCAAGAGCTGACACTCAGACTGTCTTCAAGTGACTCCCTGACTGAAGGTAGTGAAAGATTTTAGTTTGCTGAGAGAAAAAGTTTTGAAAGATATTAGATCACAGAGAGAAAAAGTTTCTCACAGGCCTTGGCCCATTACAAGGAAGTTGGCCCCAACCCTGGGTACATCCTATGGTTTA